TGGCGCAGTATACACGACCTTTCATTTTCAACGAAACATCGCGTCTACACCAAAGGTGTTTCAATCCTGCGTAAGCTGCTCGAGCCTTGGGAATGCGGGCGGTTACTTCATTGACTATGCTGCCGTCATTTGAAACGCAGCTACCTAAGTAGGTGAAACATTCCACTACAGCTNTGACCATCAAGCATCAGCGCTGGGGTAGACGACACCCAGTCTTGTAGCATCACTTTGCACTTTGAAGGTGCAAAGCGCATGCCGAAAGGAGATACAGAACTTGCTAGTCTGTCAAGATCGCATTGCACATCCTCCATAGATTCGAACATGCATACGATGTCATCAGCGTACTCTAAATCGCACAGCTTTTCTCCAGCTGCCCATTCAATACCTACGTTCTGGAGACCGGTAAGTGCGTTCTCCAGAACTTCGTCTACGACGAACTTGAACAGAAATGGCGAAATAGGGCACCCTTGAAGAACACCGCTCCTGGTTTCGAACGATTTACTTACCCCACCGTAAATAAACCCTTATGCTACCAGAAGTATGCAGATACAACGACCGCAATAGGTTTACATACTTCCGCGGCATTCCTTTTCGCAACAGCGATCCCAGAAGAGCTTCATGGTCAACTGAATCGAAGGCTCCTTTAAGGTCAAGGAATACTGCGATTTTTGGTCGACCATATGTGTGATGTAGTCCGAGGACTTGATGCAGAGTGAAGGTATGGTCGATGCACCCGCGACCTGGTCGGAATCCGGCTTGTTGTTCGAGGATATTCCTCTCCCTTAAGGGTGTCAGGCGGCGAAGTATCACAGAAGTCAACACTTTTGTGATTATCTGAACTAAACTAATCCCGCGGTGGTTAGCGCAGTCGCTACGTGATCCCTTCTTGAAAATAGTGACGATCGTCGATTCACCCCAGGACAAAGGAATACGCTCCTCCGTCCAAATGCTGCGAAGTAAGCTAGTAATTGAGTCGACAAGAGAATCTCAGTCCACTTTGAAAAGAATAGGGAGAAGCCCATCAGGTCCCGCAGCCTTTCCTTTCTTTAATGATTGTATGCAGCTTGGGACTTCCGATTCTGATGGGGGCTCGCATGTTACCA